AGTCTGTGATGATGCCTGTACCTCCCTCCCTATGTGGTCTTCAGACAGGATGGCTCAGACAGAGCCAGGGCCAGTTTGCCTTGAGGGCAGAATACAACAGCAGCTTTCCCAAGAAGCCAACTGGGGTACCAGGTAGAGCAGAAACCCTGGGATCCCCGCAGGGCACCCTCCCAGCCTGACTCCAGGTGAACCGGAGCACACTGCAGCCTCAGGGGATTAGTGCTACGTCGTGCAACGTGATTCCGTTGGGCTGGAGAGGCGGATGTGTCAAAGTGCAAGATGGTTTCTATGATTCTAGGTTTGCCCTGCTGCGTAGGGTGAGGGAATCATGGCCTTGCGCGGGCAGGCTTGTCTTGCCGAGCGGTTTGGCCAGCCCTGGGACCTGAGCAGCTTTGGGTGCAGATGCCTGCGGTCCCAGGGCGCAGGGGTGCTCACTGCCAGGGGGGAACCCATGGGCAGGCTATGTGCTCACGGAACTCGATCCTAGTGGGGAACACTAATCGAGGGAACAAAATGACTCCTGTGACTCAAAGTCCCACGAGGAGAGCCAACTGGGGCGTCGCAAGGCTGCGAGGAGGCGTCCAGGGACTACGTCAGCACAGCGCTAGGGGTGCAGGCTCAGGGCGCCAATCTGGGGCGGTCCTGCCCGCTAGGGAACCCGTTTGTCAGAATAAGACGCCAGTAACCGGCTCCGCCGGCCTGCCTCAATCCCTGCACCGCAGGTTAGGAACCCGCAGGCTAGCTCCTCTTCGGGCCGGTAGAAAACTACATTTCCCATCATGCCCTCGCGGCTCCTCGAGCCGACCTGCGACGGAAGTGGCCGCCGAGAGACTATGCGTCAGTTCCGTTGCGCAAGTGGTCCCACGTTCTGTAGTCGTGAGTAGAGACCAGGAACTGCTTCTGGTTTCCGGTTTCTCGCGACGGAACTGACGCGCGCGGCGCGCGACGCAGAGCCGAGTGCAGAGCGGAGGTCGTGATGAGCTGTGTGTTGTGTGCGCCGGCGGCTGGGTGAGCTCTGTGCGGTCTCGGCGGGGCGGAGGACGGGCGCAGCGTGCGGCAAGCTCACTGCTCTTTTTTTTCCAGGGCTGTCCGGGCGCTGAGGCTCGTGCGCTGGGCTTCCCGAAGCCTGCATCCGCCGCCCGGGGGCCGGGATCAGGCCCAGTCCGCAGCCAAGGGGGAGGAAGAGGACGATCCTGACCGCCCCATTCCGTTTTCCACCAGCAAAGCCAACCCGTCCCGTTGGACGGTGGAGCATTCCCTGGGAAAGGAGCAGCAGCGACCCTGGTGGAGGGTCTTGCCCATAAGCCTGTCCCTCATGATTCTGCTCATTTGGTGCGTCGTTAGGGACGAGACCGGCACGGACCGCTGGTTGAAACAGGTATTGGAGGAAGAGGTGCCGGAGCTCAGCGATCCCTCCGAGGAGCCTGGAACTCCAGCTGCCTATGGAGAGAGAACTTAAAGAGGCGCCCGCGGGGGCAGACAGCGAGGGCCCAGGCAGCGGCCCTTAGGTCTGACGTCGCGTTTGATCGTTTCTGTCTGGTTCTGTGCGTCCCCAGGCTGAAGGGTTGGATGGCGCACCTGGCCACACTGACCCTCCGGGGAGGAGAGAGCGGAATGTCAGCAGACGGGACCCAGTTCTTGGCCTGATACTTTGATGCCCAACGAATATGCACAAAAGACTTTTTCTAGGTCCATATGAAAGGTTTTGGATTTGTGATTTTCAACATTATGTTTCCAAAGCAAGTCTGGTGACACTTGTAATCCAGTGTAATCTAGTTTGCTTTCTGAGACAGAATAACAGACGAGTTAAGCTTTCTATTTTACAATGTATTGTGGTATGTATAAATTGATGTTAGTTTTACAAACTAACACATTGATAAATGTTAATTAGCTAATGTGGAATTAAGCCAACCCCCCTTTTGCATCGCATTAAACAAAGGGAGCCTTTTAGTCCTTTTTCAATTCCTTCTTTTTAAATTGATTTTAGAAAGAAGAAGGGAGAGAGAGAGAGAGAAGTCAGTGATGAGAGAATCATGGATTGGCTGCCCGTGCACGCCCCCTACTGGGGATTGAGCCCTAAACTGGCATGTGCCTTGACCTCAGTCCTGGTGACCTCTTTGCTCATGGGTTGATGCTCAATCCTGAGCCACACTGGCAGGGCTCCTTTGTGGGTTTTTCTTTTTCTTCTTCTTCCTTTTTTTTTTTTTTTTTTTTAATCAAGGCAACAACTTTCTGAATAAAATAAAACCGATGAATTTTTCTTTTGACAAATTATAATATTTGGGGTACCTAAATTATGTTTTTCAAAGTGCCTGGCGCACCTTGGTAAATTATGCTTGTCAGGGAGGTGGGACCCATACCAGTATGTGCTTTTTTCTTTCATTGTAATCCTCACCTGAGGATATGTTTATTGATTTTAGAGAGAGGAAGGGGGGGGGGGGGGGGGGGAGAGAAGCATTAACCAGTTGCCTCTTGTATGCACCCTGACTGGGGATTGAACCCATAACCCCAGTTATGTGCCTTGACCAGGAATTGAGCCCTCGACCTTTTGGTTTACAGGACGGCACTCCAACCAACTGAACCACACCGGCCAGGGCAATAGGTGCATTTTTTTAAAGATAGAGAGTCCTAGTTTTGGCTCAATGGATAGAGCATCAGCCCTCAGACTGAAGGATCCCGGGTTTGATTTTGGTCAAGGGCACATACCAAGGTTGCAAGCTTGATCCTCAACCCTGGTCAGTGTGCATGCGAGAGGCAACCAATCCTTGTTTCTCTCTCATATCGATGTTTCTCTCTGTCTCCTTTCCACTCTCGTTAAAAATCAATGGAAAAATATCCTCGGGTGAGGATTAAAGACAACAACAAAAGATGGAGAATCCAAGGTTTGGAAAGATTGACCTAATCAGCTCAAGTTACATTGTTAGTCCTAGTGGGAACAAAGAACTAAGATGTCCTTCCTCTGGCCTACTGTGGTTCTGAACTCTTTTTTTGTTGTTAATCCTTGCCGGAGGATATTTTTTAAAATTAATTTTTAGAGTGGAAGGGAGGGAGGTGCGGAGAGAGAAATATTGATGTAAGAGAGACACATCAATTGATTGCCTCCTGCACATGCCCCAACCAGGGCTGAGGAACAAACCTGCAACCCAGATATGAGCCCTTGACCGGGAATCAAACCTGAGACCCTTTGGTCCTTGGGCAGATGTTCCAGCATGGAGCCAAACTAGCCAGGGCCTCTTTTTTAAAAAAAAATTATTTATGTATTCATTTCAGAGAGGAAGAAGAAGGAAGAGATAGAAGCATCAATGATGAGAGAATCATTGATTGGCTGTCTCCTGCTGGGGATCAAGGCCGAAACTGGGGCATGTGCCCTGCCGGGAATCCAAGGGTTAACTGATTCATAGGTTGAGGCTCAACTACTGACCCACATTGGCCCGACAGTTGTGAACTCTCATTTGAGCAACAGGCATTCACACTCAAACCCTTAATTTACTCTTACTAGCTCTTGCAGAAAAAAAAATGTCAGAACTAATGAGAAAGTTTTTTTATGTTAATTAAAAGTGACTCAGCCCTGGCCAGGTCACTCAGTTGGTTAGATCAGCATCCCACTACGCCGAGGTTGTAGGTTAAGTTCAATCCCTGTTCAGGGCACATGCAAGAATCTATGCATAAATAAGTGGGACAACAAATCAATTTTTTTCTCCAATAAAAGAAAAAGTAAACCATATGAGAAAAGCAATGTGTTTGATCTGGAAGCTAGACACTAACTTTGTTAGGCAAAAGGAAGAGAAAACACATCATGCCACATGCAACAGATCCCGAGTGCCTCCAGGGTGGCTATCGATGAAGGCTGTTACGGGTTTTGTCATGAGCTAAAGGTGAACCCCAGGCTCGCTGGCAAGTGTAGGCAGACCCTCCCATACCTGGATTTGGCAAAGGGCTGGCAGCAGAGTAGGCAGACAGGTGAACTGTTACTGAAATCCTTTTATTATTTAGCAGTTTTTGTAGTGTGCTCATCTTATTCCCCAACTGGCTGTAGCTTTTCTTCCCAGGGTGCTTGGCACATTCGCTTCCCGAGATAAGCACCCGATGAGGATTTGAGAGGGAGAGGACTAGTGTAAGCATGCTATAACAGAAGCAGTTGCAGTGATTCATGAGATGAGAAATTGTTGGGCAGAAGGAGGAGAAAATTGTTTTAAAGAAAATCCAAGGAAGAAGAGGTTAACTAAATGGCCTCACATCTTTCGAGCAGCTGAGCAATTTCGGAAGTACTGTGCATTTCCCTCAACCCCAACCCCCCGAGAAAGTAAAACACTTCTAAATTTACAATGAAGAGTTATTTTATATGTCTAGGTACTACCCCAGCCATTTAAGAATGGTCTTTGGGCCCAGCCAGCATGACTCAGTGGTTGAGCGTGGAGCTATGAACCAAGAAGTTACAGTTCAATTCCCGGTCAGGGCATGTGGCCAGTAGGGGGCATGCAGGAGGCAGCCAATCCATGATTCTCTCTCGATGTTTCTATCTCCCTCTCCTCTGAAATCAATAAAAAAATATATATTAAAAAGTAAAAAAGGTCTTTGGAAGCACAAAAAATTACACTGGGTCTTCACAGCCTTGCACAATTCTCTGATCTCTTCAAGGAAGACGCCTCATGGGTAAGAAGGAGTAGTAGGCACCTTTACTCCCACCTCTACAGTGAAGATCCCCAGATTTTTTAAATTTTTCTTCTTGGTACCCTGACTGGGAATCAAACCAACAACCTTTCAGTGTATGGGACGATGCCCAACCACTAATATTTAAATTGAGCCCCAGCTTCTTTTTTTCTGGTAGAAAGTGGTTCTCAGAACATCAGTACTGGACTTCATAGGTTCCTCAGACAGCTCAGGTGCAAAGTGGAATTCATCTCTTCCCAAACCTGTTTCTTTGCTATGTATTCCTCCAAGCTAGGGACCTTGAAATTATTCTAGACTTCTTTTTCTTTCCCCACTTACTAGCAGCCTTCAAGATCTATTCATTCCTCCAACAAATGAATGAGTCCTGTCCTCTGCTTCGTTCTCCTCCTTGATTTTCTTAGAAAATATCATATTGATTTTTTGCCATTTTCCAGGTTTAAGTGTAATGTTTGTAGAGGTAATAATTCATTTGGAAAATGAGCATAAAAAGAAGATAATCATTTACCCCACCAGCAAATGATAGCTTTTATTTTACTGTAATACTTGTAGTTCAAAAAATAACTTACATACTTAAGCACAAATATATGGAACTGTTATACCTTGCTTTGTTTTTAACCTAAATAGGAGCATTTTTCATGTCGATAGGAGCATTGTTGTTAAATCATGGCATAGCCCTCGAACTTAACCATGTCACCGTTACTGTTCTGTTAGGCGCTCTCAAGTGTTCGCTAAGTGACTGATGATGATCTTTATCTGAATCTGATTTTAGGTCCGTTCCTAGAAATGGGACATCATTTTCTGTGAAGTTCAGCACCTGCTTGTCCTCCCAGCTGTGTTGCAGCTTGTCTGGTTGCAGGCCACCAACACTGCAGAATGCTGTTCCGCCCACTCCAGGGCTCTTGCCTTTTTTTCATTTGCATTTTTTAAATACTAGAGAAGTTGAACATTTTATTTTTTTAATTTCAGAGAGGAAGGGAGAGGGAGAGAGAGATAGAAACATCAATGATGAGAGAGAATCATCGATCAGCTGCCTCCTGTGTGCCCTACACTGAGGATTGAACCCACAACCCGGGCATGTGCCCTGACCAGGAATTGAACCGTAACCTCGTGGTTCATAGATGGATGCTCAACCGCTGAGCCACGCCTGGCGAGTAGTTGAGCATTTTAAAAAATGTTTACAGAATAATGTACTCTGGGCCTGGGTTGTGTCCTGAAATGCACACCCTGGTTCTTACTCCAGGGTCAGCTGAGCTGGGGCGGCTGCTGCATGCTTCCCTGAGTTCTCACCCTGTTGGTGTCCATGCGTCTTTTGGATTCTTCTTTAAAAATCAGCTTAACTCACCCATTTAAATATCCTATTAAAGATATTTATTATATTCACAGGGGGCACCCATCACCACAATCTAATTTTAGGACATGTTCGGACTCCCTAAAAGAAACTCCATTCCCACGAGCAACATGCCCTATGTCTCCCCATCTCTCCCACATCCAGCCCTAGGCAGTTGGACCCATTCTTCCAGCCTCAGCACCCAGCATGGCATCTGACTCAGTGAGCAGCCTGTGTAGGTTGTCTAAATCCCGAGGACCTGTTGGCTCCATGCCCTGGAGCCCAGCTCACGGTCGCATCGAGCGGTCGGAATGCTCAGGGCAGCAGTGGGCAGAGGAGAGCTATACGAGTGCAGGATGGGTGTGCAGTTGGACCACGGGCGCCCGCGGGGGTGCGGGAAACGCTATGCACGGGGGATGCGGGAGTGGTAGCGGCCCATGTCCGGGGTGTGTCCCCGGCGGGGCCTGGTCTAGGGTCGGCGAGGGTCGCCTGGAGATGGTAGCTGGGCGCTGGGCGCCGGCGC